CTGGATTAAAAGTGTGGATTATTGTAACCTGGATTAAAAGTGTGGATCATTGTAGTGAAGCCTTCGTCTTCAACCATCGACAGAGGCCTTGTGTCAGTGACGATCATGTTCAGGATGTTTCAGTGAAGACAGCTGCTGCTGTGGTTTCCATGATGTCTGTCCATCATGAAGGATGTTGTTGTTTGTTGTTGTTTTCTGGAATGAGAGAGTAAATATGTATTATAGCATAATTTACAGCAACTCAAGAAATGCCTTGTTTCACTTACAGTGTTAGGTTCAGGCAAAAGTAGCTAAAAGAGCAATTAAACACACACACACACACACACACACACACACACACACACACATATATATATATATAAAATACTTAATTACACACATTTGAGTAGATGTAATAAATTACTTTAATTCCTGTTTAAATGCAATTCATCCTGCCATACCTGCAGTGTCTTCAGACTTTGCCAACAAATTAAAAGTTGAAGCTTAATCATTAAATTATTATCTTTGTGTTAGATTTATTTATAAATCACATTTAAACACTGCTTGTACCAATTAAATTAAATAAAAAGTAACACACACGTTCTCTATCACCGTCATTAATCAGATAAACAAGCAAACAAACAAACAAACAACAGCTTCATCTACAGACAGACTGACGTTACGTTTTCTCTCTTGAAACAGAACAATGTGTTAAATTGTAGAGACTCACCTGCAACACGAGTTGGGAGTGAAACATGCATCAGCTGCAGCTCGTGACTCCGACATGTTTACGTTTCATCTCCGTGGTTCTCTCGTGTCGTGTCGGCGATTTTCAAAGCTGCATGTTTCTCATTTTTTATCTTTGTGAAGTTCTCCCACTCTTTGGAGGACTTGGGTCAAACAGTTTTTGCTGCGTCGGTCATTTGTAAAATTTACTTAAATTTCCTTTAAAAACACCGCCACTGCTTTGCTCCCCCCTCACTCTGTTCGACTCGCGCTGCAGTTTTTTTTTTTTTCAAACTTTATTCAGTCAGTCAGCATTGACAATGAACTGCCCGTGAACAAAACGAAACGGCTCTGCAGCGCCGTGAAAGATGCATAATCGCGCGACACAACGAATCGATAACAAAATTCGTTGCCAACGCTTTTAATCATCGATTTTTATCGATTTTATCGATTCGTTGTTGCAGCCCTAGGCCCAATTACACCTAAAATGATATTTTGACAATTCTTAAAGAACTCCAGCCTGGAATTTTGTGAAGCCCCTCAGACCCTTCAGATCCAGTAGCTGAAAATAAGCCCTTGTTTTCAGTCAAACGTTTATGTCTTTCAGTGATTGGACATGTTTTTTTTTTTCTCTACCTGTGGACAACTCCATTCTCTGATTAGCTTTTTTTTTCTTTTCCAGATTCTGATCTAGCAGTGAGCTTCAGGAGCATGGTGCACCCTCTAATCACCTCCAGCTTTGGGTGAAGCTAACAGCCATCAGCCGTGGAGCGTCCCATGCTGCAGCCTGCATGCATGTGCAACACAGTTTTCAGACTAAATGTTCATTTGTGCACATTACAAGTGATCTTTAGTCTTTACATCCAGACTAAAACAACTGTTTCACATGAGATGAGAGGTGGGACTCTGCAGAGACGTCTGGCTGACACAAGGTTCTGATTCTAGATGGAGTTGAACTCCGTCTGTAGATTTCTACAGAGACTCTCAAATGGAACAGCAGAGCAGCTGGAGAGCTAATAGAAACATCTAAAATAGAGGGATCGAGGTAAAAAAAAAATATTACTGAGAGGAATGCATTATTTGATGTAAATATGGAGATAAATTTGTCTTTACAGAGTATTAATGTGGTCCATTTTCCCCTCAGGAGAGTTTAGTAAAGTTCATGTGAGCTTATGAGAACAATTGGAACATTCTGACTAAATAAACAAGGATTTGTAGGCTTAGTCCAAGAAAATCATGGTCGTTGACTCCACCAAAAATAAATAAAGAAATGAAAACACAGGGAAAAATAAATGTGTATTTATTTTCCCTGTACGCTCTTCCAAGGGTTAAATAACAATAATGCTAAACTGATGATGGTGTAAAGGTCTTTTCACATGAACTGCAGTAACTCTTTGGATACTGAGGCTGACTGAAGCTGACAACAGTCCACTTACATCTGAGCTCTGTTAAGACGAGCCATGAGCTCATCAATCTGCTCAAAGTTTAACTCTACTTCTCCAAACTCAGGTCATTCAAAAGGCTCTCTAGAGCAGGTAAGACTTTATTGTTCATATGTTTTTTGTACAGATCAAAAGTGTTGAAGCTTTCATTTAAAACTCAGGAGAAAAAGAGAAATGAAAAAGCTGACTGGATTCAGAGGCTCTACGCTGGAAAGAGGAGCAGATGATGAATGGATGAAGGAAATGAACTCTAAAGACAGGATGTCAGAAGAGCAAAGCTGAATACAGATTAAACTCCAGCAGCCAAACTGGTGAGGAAATGAACAGACTCACGCCACTCGAGGACACTGGCCCCAGGTACAGCGCTGATAGTCTGGTTTGATGTACGTCTCCACTCCGTCCTCCATCACACAGCTAACCGTGCGCGTCACCACATAAGCACACCAATTTCTGTAAAATTACACACAAAGGAAAAGTATAGGACATGTGAAAGGACGTAAAGGCAGTCAGTTTTATTTATGCTGGACTTGGACCATTGACACAAACACCACAGGTTTCTACATAGACACATGGAATCTATTCCGTTTCTTCAAAAAGGTTGACAAAATAAAATCCAAAATGTGGTCACTTGCTGATCGTGAGGCTCCACTTTATGTTTGGAGATCGATATCTCAAACCCTGTTTGTTATTCTGCAGTCCAGAAATTGGTGCAAATGTCAGATCAGCTCAGGATAACTGCTCGAGTTCAAACAAAGGCTGCCATTGTATTCCCCTTCCAACACTACACTAACCAGCCCCCCCCCCCCCCCCC